TGCGTATTGATGACGTGCCTGAGTTAACGCTGCCAATTATCAAACCCAACAGAGATTACTTCTGCCAGTATTGTGACAAGGTTTGTTTTTCCACTTCCATTTCTTTCAAACAGGGAGTTTTGGACAAGTGCGTTTTTCTATCTTCCAAATATGCTTAACCTCTGCCTCGCCTGAATCAGATCAGAGGAGACCAGTTTTCATTATGTTATGAATACATCTCTGTAATGAGCTGATCTCTGTGCAGGTCTATAAGAGTGCGAGTAAGAGGAAAGCCCACATATTGAAGAACCACCCAGGGGCAGAATTGCCTCCCAGCATCCGTAAGCTGCGACCAGCTGCTCCTGGTGAACCAGACCCCATGCTGAGCACACACACCCAGCTGACCGGCACCATCGCCACCGCACCAGTCTGCTGCCCACACTGCGCCAAACAGTACAGCAGCAAGGTTTGTAATGAAACTGAGTTAAAAACATCTAAGGGTTGAAAATCTTTAATCTACCATTCTACACCATTCAGCTGCAGACCTAACGGATGACTTTCTGTGTGTTTGTGTCTCAGACTAAGATGGTTCAGCACATCAGGAAGAAACATCCAGAGTTTGCTCAGCTCGCCAACACCATCCAAGCTCCTCTGACAACAGCTGTAATCAGCAGTTCTCCTGCCGTCGTCAGTGCAGATGGTACTACAGCTGAGGCTGTAGTGGTAAGAAGATTTGTAAACACTCAGTACATAGGAGGAAATAAGAAAAAAGGTCAACTAATAAAATAGAAAATAACTTACTTTGATAATTTTATCCACAGACCACAGATCTGCTGACACAGGCCATGACGGAGCTTTCACAAACACTCACAACAGACTACAGAACAGCGCAGGGCGACTACCAGAGGATCCAGTACATCCCCGTCTCTCAGGCAGGAGGCAGCCTGTCGCAGCCACAGCACATTCAGCTGCAGGTGGTGCAGGTGGCTCCGGTAAGATCCAGAATCTGAGTATCCCAACAACATCCTTCCTCACAATGACAGCCATCCACTCTGATAGGTGGGAGCATCTAGTCAGTGTAGACTGAAGGACTTGCATGTCTAACATAGTATACAGTACAGAGTATGAAAACCATAGCGGCTGAAGGAGCTGTTTTTCAGATTCATTTATCATGTATACTTCCTCTTTTTCGTCTGGGATTTAAACTGGCAACTGTCATTCTACCGCTCATGTGGCCAAAAATACTGATCACTCTAATGTGATCTTATGCTCAGATCAAAAGTTTACCACCTTTCATTTCCTTCTATTTTTCGAAAATGTTGATTGCAGGTTAAATTATGCGCTTTGCAGTTAGTCAACAAAATCTTTTTAAACATCTTGTGGGTTGAGGTGATTTTTAGAAACCGTGTCCTTGATTTTTGCTCCGTGTTCCACAGGCTTCATCTCCACATTCGCAGCACCCGACTGATGTGAGTCAGTTGCATGACCCTCACGGCTACAGTCAGCACTCCATCCAGGTTCAACACATCCAGGTCACTGGGCCTCCAGGCACTGGACAAGGTGCCACCCAGGTAAACCTTCATCACACTCACTCTGGTATTTCATTCATGAAGAATATTTTACACATATTATATTTTTTAATAACATTAAACAAGTTATTAAGACATGTATTAAATGTTGTTTTGTTTTCCAATAGTCTCAATATCCTGTTGACCTTTGCATTTCGTTATGGAAATTGGTTCAAACTTGATAACAACCACCTCTCCTCCCTCTTTCAGGTAACCGGTCAGCCACTAAGCCCCACCTCCCAGCAGCCTAGTCAGGAGCTGAGCCCCACCCAGTTGACCCCTGTCACTTTAGCTCAGAGCCACACGCTGCAGACCAGCAGCACCCAGTCGCAGCAGGGGACCGTCCAGCACGCCTACATACCCGGGAACTGGAACTACCGAGGTTACTGTAAGTCATATATGCTTTACATTGTGATGGCTCTACACTGTTCGATTGTGTGTTAGGTTAATATGTCAATGTCTCTTTGCTCCAGCGTCGGAGATCCAGATGATGGCTCTACCTCACGCACAGTATGTGATCACCGAGGCCAGCCCGCCTGTATCCGGAGTCAACAACAACCAGGTGAAAACGGTGAGTGAGGGAGATACCTGTTTGGAGGAAAGAACCAGTGCACGTGTGCTTAAGGAAATCAGGATCTGAAGCAGTTCAATTTTTCTCCTTATACAGTGGAAACCAGATATTAGTGATCAACCGTTTATATGGATACAAAATCTTAGGACACATTGTTCCTACACAATGCTGTTCAAATAATTTGGTTATCAAGTAATCTGCTTACAGTTTTCATTTTGAGTCTTTTCATACATGTTTGGTGTCTGTGCACTGCCAACCGCCATCTCCTCCGGCTCTACAGATATTCTACCAGTCTGAGTTTACACATGTGTTAGTGCATGTGTCGGCTTGTGTGTCAGAGCAAGAGAAAAGCTGAATTATGAACAAATGGGTGCGCAGCTATGAAGAAAGATTTTACTCATTTAAGAAAAGTAGCGATCATTGTCTGATGATCAGTGTTAATATTGTGGCGTAATTTCAAACAAATCCACCTTTAGACTGTAGCGGGTCAGAGATGTCAGCTGAGTCTCTTTCCCTGAAGTTCCAGACCAGGACTATCATACAGAAGCTACGTAATTTGGTTCTAGTGATCAATCTATTGTTGATCTGCAGACTCATGTTAGATACCAGATATTCAAATTCGCATTATAGACTGTAAAAATAAGACAGGAGCAGATATTCAGATTTGAATGTGGTGATATCATGTGAAAACAGAAAAGTTCTCTTTCCCGTCCTGCAGACGCACTATGTGATCTCTGAGGGTCAGACCGAGCTGGAGCCCAAACAGCCCGTTCCTCAGAGCACAACGCAGGCCCACGCTGAACAGCTGGAGCAGCAGCCGACCAATCCGCAAGGCACAACGCAGTACATCATCACCACGACAACCAACAGCAGCGGCGCTAGTGAAGTTCACATCACAAAACCCTGAAGTGCACAGTGATGAACTCTCACAGAGACTGATCTTGCATGTAGACCTCAGATGCTTGTACGCACACGAACGAACAAACACAAAGTCATATGCAACCGGAAACCGATTCATACAGAAGTGAAGAGTGAGGGCACGAAAGATGACAGCACAGTTTTATGTGTCTGTCAGTTTAATAGAGAGAAAAACACAAACAGGTTATTTAAAAACAAAAGCTACACCTGTTTTGAAGTTATGGACTTTTTCAGAGATATTTGCAGGGTTCCTGTGTGAACATCAAATATTAAAATAATCATGTTAAGGTATGGAAAAGTTGGATAAGTTTTGTTGCTTAGTTCTTACAGTTTTTTGTTGCCATTTTACATATTTATAAAGTTATTGACATTTCTTGAAATAGAGTATTTGTAAATGAAAGTATTGAGAGACGGTAAAAAATACGGAGATCACTGTACAGAACAATCCAGCAAAACAGGTCAACATGTTTTTGTCTCATCATGTTTATGTGAGTGAACCTGTGTTTGCGTATTGATATCTGATGTGATTTATTCCTCCATGAAGTTCCTCCTTGAAATGTGTCACACGTCTGTTATTTTATTTCACATGCTGGTTATTTTACTCTTTTTCTTTGTCACAACCACAGCGTCTGTGTTTTTATAGTAAATTTAGAAAAGCAAAAACAATCAGTTCCACTCTACCAAAATTCAATGGATGGTCTCAATGGCTTTGTGGGTCAGTTCTTAAAAATCCAACATCACATTAGATTTTACAAGATAATGCAGAGCATGGATACAATTGACCTGTAAACATTTGGAATTTGATTCTTTTATTTTTTTACATATCTAAAAGGAAACTACACCTGGAGGAGTGAGTTAGCATCAGGCTCTGATGAGAGGTGTGGTCAGAAATGAGCTGTTAGACCTTTAACCACACCCATCAGTGATGTCACAGGATTTGTGGGAAACACCTGTACACAAATACGAAATCAAGAGGAAAATGTTTTTCAAATTTGAATTTCTATATTTCTTTCTCTGACATTTCATTGTCTGAGAAGAAGAAAAATATTCATCTTTTAACTGAAGGTACATTTTTTCCCCCTGCAGAAATCCTTCATCTTGGAGCAAAATGAAAAACTTTTCCTCAGTGATTCTAATGTACATAGAAAATATCATTTAAGAGCCTCAGGTGTTACCAGTGAAATATTTAGACGCAGCATCACAGGCTGTGCAAGTGCAGCTTCATATTTTGGAGTAAACAACAGTCAAGTATAATTTCACTTATCACATCTCATATTTCATTTGCAGTTACTTAGGAAATGAGAATATAATTCAGCAGGAAGAGTTCAAATAAAATACAATAAATATCCTCTGTGTTACTGATGTACTCATAAAGCAAGGCATTGTCTGTTGTTGTAATAAAACAGAACTTCGTTTTTCAAGGTATATCTGAATAAAACAAAACAAAAATAATAAAACTAAATTCATTAAAAACTTGCTATAAAATATACTTGTATATCATAACATAGAGAGATGTTATAAGATAATGATTCCCTTTACAATAACAAGTTATTACCATGTGTTAAACATTTTATTGTTTTATTCATCAGCAACAGAAAAGTTCTTCATAGAAACAGTTCAAACCTCAGAGAGGATGAGTAGAAATGTGTTGTGTCGTAAAGATGAATGTATGGCAGGTTATCACATGTGAACTAACAGGACCTGTCTGTGACTGATTCAGGAAGAAGAAGTGACTGTTGGAGGGGAGGTATTTGGCCACTGGGTGGAGCAGGGCTTGTCCTCAAAACAATTGATCAGTATGTTTAAAACATTCCTGCCTGGGTCAGAATGTGGGAAAGGGGAAGAGCCACTGCTTAAATAAAACAAATCTTCCAGCAGAACCAGTCCAACAAGTTCGTCCTGTCACACAAACCATCACATATTTTAGCAGGTGTAAGCTGCTCGAATCATTTTAGTTTCCGGCAGCATGTCTGTGTCTGAGTCGCTCTCATGCCTCAGCTGACAGTCGTCCACGCCACAGGTCAGGGGACGGCAGGACGGGGAGGCTGTAAATGGATGGAGGTGGTCAGAGAGGACGGAGAGGCTGAAGAGAGGAGAGGAAATCTGAAGAGGTATGTAGAGCTGTGGGTCAGGCCTCTCGTCTGAATCAGGGTTTGAGTGGCAGGTCTGTGATTAGCTGCTGCTGCAGGGAGGAGACGTCTTGAGTCCTCTCTGCTCAGACTGCTGAAAGAAAATTGCTATTCTGCTCCATTAGGCTGATAATCTGTCAGCGTATCTGATGACTGAGTTCACATCTAAACTTTTATGACACATGAGATACAAGTTCTGAGCAAACTGTAAATTACCCCTCACAGCGCTGGATTGTAGAATAACCATTGGTCCATCCTAATAGATAAATGCTGTGTGTGGCAATGCATTGATTAAAAACTAAAACTCTTTAATATTTTATTAAGTTTTCAAACGTGCAAAAACAAGCAGACAGTATTCCCACATAAACTCAACAAACGTAATATGCAGACAACCAGAAAACACTCATCTTTTATCATAACTTTGTCTCTGAGACACCTTCACCAGTATTTCTAAACTAAACTCTTAAAACTTCATCCCAAGATTTACAAATATAACAAGTGTGAAAGCCAAAGATCTCTGCAACTTTACATCTTGTGCCACGTGTTGCTATAAAAACAGACCTTCTCAGATTTTCTCCTCAGTGAGTTGAAAATGGGCTAAATTCTAACTTTGATGCTTATCAAGAGGCTTCTGTGACCAAAAATGTTATTCCGAATGTTTATTTAACTAATTCTTCAGTCAAATTACTTACCTAGTGTGCTTGAGTCTTAAAATCATATTTGCATCACAATTTATTCCAATTCTCTTCAATTTGGCACCAGATGTTGTTCCCTTTTATTTTGAATCAACCGCCCCTCACTCTCTTTCAACCGATCGGTGAACATCTCTTTCCATCACCTCTTTACTGCCACAGTTTAAATCCACCACCAGTGGATGCTCAGCCAGATGTCACATCCTGGTCCCAGATTGTGCGTACTCTGCGACCCTGGAGAAGCTACTGGTACTTTGGTCCAGCAGGTGTAGTGTGGTTAGTCTGCCAATTGGAGACGCTGCCACACACCACTCTCTCCCTGGCAGATGTGTGCTGGAGGCTGCTGTTGGTGTGCTTCCTGTGGGTGGTGCTGGGAGGCTGTGTTCAGGCCCTGAGGTGCTGCCTGCAGCCAGGACGCAACCAGGTGAGCGTGGCCTCATGAGCCGGATCTCACTTCATCCTGCATCTTAATGGTCTCATGTTTATTCAGGGACGTTGCTTTAATTCAAGGGGGAGCCACCAGAGGGGAAACAGCAGGAGGAGGTGACGGAAAACAGAAACATCCAGTATTCATGGTGAGACTTTGTTATTTCCATAGTTACAACTTATTTATGGGACAAAGATAATGTCATTTCAATACATGCAAAGAGCCACCTGTGTTTTTATTTCACTTGTTTTGTTTTTTCAAAGCACATATTTCAGTTTTTCTGTGACACTCAGTACAGCTCATACCTCCAACAGTCCTCCTGTGCAACCCCATTAGATTGGTGCAGAAGTTGCTTGAATTTGATCCTGGTGTCCAGTGGAGGTCGATAAATGGCAGAGGGACATGTCCCCCTTTAGGCGGATCACATGCCCAGCAGCTGCAAAATAAACAAAACATTTAACATTAAAACATTAAAATGAAGCAGAATGTTCACCGTGTCTTTATTTCTACAGGGCGTCCCAGTCCCAGAGCCCAGGCCTCCACGTCCCTCTGGCCCTCGCCCTGGCCAACAGCCTGCTGCTGTGTGTCCTCCAGGAGCCCCTCCCAGACCCCAGTGTCCCCCACATCCAGGCTCTGCTCTCCAGGCTGGAGGTAAGAGAGAGAAAACCTCTTTATAAAAGAAGTCAAACACTGTCTCACACACAGCTGCCTCCAGCAATCCCTGTCATCTCCTGTGGTTTTTCAACTTTCTCTTTGCATATAGATCAGTATTAAAAAAATGTTTTTGGGTGATATTACAGAAATTCAACGTGTCACTCAGGAATACACAGATATTCTAACCCCGAGCAAAACACACACCATCACTGAGCGGCTGTTGTCTGCTCTCTGAACTAACCAGACTGCCAGAGGAGATTTATTTTAATGATTCTTTTCCATCTGTCTTTCCTGTGTGTGCAACATTAAGCAGGTTTGTGCCAAGAAATACCCAGATGATGAGCTATTTTTTTACTTAATTCCCAAAGTATCCAGATGTTTAACATCTTTATTAATGACACAAATTTTCTACAGAAGATTTAACTGCACCTTACTTACAAATGTTCTGACACGTTGGACTAAGAACACGACCTTTGCTTCTTGCAGAAGCCTCAGGCCAAACACAAATTTAATCTTTATTAAAAAGCTCTTGCTTCAAACTTTTTTATTTACTTTGAAAAATATTCCTCCTTTTAATGTTGTTGTTAATTCCTCCACCAAGGACGTTATGTTTGTCAGTTAAAAAAACAGGACGGATTAACATGAAAACTTGGTGGAAGGACGTTGGATGGCTCAGGGAAAAATCTATTGTGTGGATCTAGATCAGGGAATAGCTCCATGAATTTATTTTCAGAGAATAATTCATTGGTCTTGATGAAAAACATCAGAGGTGTAGGGGACTGATATTTATGAGTGTGTGCAAAATAAAAATCTGAAACTAACATGAAGTTAATTGTGGTTTCATAAAGGGTCAGAGTGTTGGGCCCTGGTGGTGCAAGAGCTCTACTGAGTGACATTCTAGTTAATGTCACGTGTTGGGTTTATTTCATTTGTTGGTTTCTTTTTGTTGAATGTCACATTAATTATTGAGTTTATTGGCATTATAAACTGTATGAAATATCTCTTTGAGCAGCTGCATGTGTTGAACAGATGTGTCTGTATAGAACGGATATAAAATGCAACAGGTAGAATATTGCACTGTCTTCGTGTGGTGGATGGAATTATTCAAAGATCTACATGGCACCATGTATTTTGAAGAAGTAGTTTTAATGGCCTTGTTCAACCAAACGAACCCACAAAACTAAACCAAATCCTCTATTTTTTTTACTGCAGCCAGTGTCTCTTGCTGTTGAGGAGGCTGATCCTGGATCAGAGGTGACACTGGACGAGGTGGACGGAGGCTCCACACTGAACCACAAAGTGAAGCTCTTCTGCACCTACCTACAGCAGAGGTGAGGCTGAGTATTTATACCATCTGCTTTTTCTTTTTGTTTGGAATATCACTTCAGTATGATTAACGTCACACACTTCGCTCTGACAGGATGAGGTCGCTGCGTACTCTTGTCCAGGTGCAGGGGGATTTCGAGGCCAGTGTGAAGGACATGCTGGAGGGTCTGGACGGCCTCTGGGCTCAGCTGGAGGAGCTGCACACCGGGGTCACACTAACCAAAGAGGGGGGTCGAGGCCAGGGAGACGTGGCTCTGGCTCGGACAGACACAGAGGTAAGCAGGTGTTAAAGTCTGTCTGCAGTGTGGTGGTATTATTAGATATAAGAGGTGTGCTTTTGTCAAACTAAGGTTTTAGTTGCTTTGCAGAATCTTGGTAGAAACATCAACATTTGCTTTGTCACTTCCTTTGAGCGTAATTTCTAATTCTATTTGTTTGGCAAAGAATTTATTTGCAGTCCTGAGTCACTACAGGAACAGACTTCAGTGCTGCCAGACTCATCTGAACGACGGCACGCAGCTGCTGCAGGTGATCCTCTTCTCATGCAAGAAAAATCCACCTCTGATATTTTCCTGCCGTCTTCACTCAGAAATCCCTTTTTTTTTCGTGTCTTGCAGGAGTTAACGTGGAGTCACACTCACATCAGCCACAGTGTGAGCAGCAGCAGTGAGTCCGTCTGGCCCGAGCTGCTGCTTCAGTCCAACATTGAGCAGGTACAGTAAATTCGGCCCCTTAGACAAACAGCTCCGTGTTGGTTGTAGGTTTAAAAACCCACCAGGACTAAAGAACCTGTCTCTTCATGCAGTTTGACAAGGTGCAGGAGAGTTTCTTCTCCTTGGAACAACAAATATCTACGTTCCAGGCCCACCTGGAGGGACTTAGGATGGGGGATCAGGAAGGACATGCAAGGCTCCTGGCTTCTGCCAATGGGACCGATTCATGTCCAGCCTCTCCAGAGACTTCCCCACGTCTGGAACACACAAGTGATGCGTCACTGGAGCCTTATTCAACCTCTGCATCAGCGTCTGTGTCCTCGATGGAAACGGACATGGAAGAAGACACTCCTCTCTCACTGTGTGAGAGGTCAGCTTTGCAGTTCTCCTCCACTTTTGGACACCTGCGTAAATCTGGAAGGAGGAAGTGAACTTTCCTTTTTATAAACATGTGCTTGTATGTGTTTAAAAAGAGGATTTTCATTTTCAAATGTTGATCATTTGCTGGTTTCCTCAAAAATTTGTATTTATTGCCGTTGTGTTACTTTTCCCTTTGTTGTATCAGAATCCAGAATTTTGTCATCTTCTCTTAATATTTAATCTCAAAGATGAGCACGATTTTAAACACAAGGGGGCGCACCCCCACCAGTTATTCCAAGTATAAACACAAGCGTCTCACAGCAACCATTCAACATATGATCCAACATTAATATATATGTTCAACTGAGATCTTTCTTCAATGCCCGACCATGGCTGAGACCTTTTCTCTCGAATCGATCTTAACGTTAAACAGATGAGCCTTTTTTCAAGGTCGGGTCAGTCACAACTTGAGTTTTAAGAATCTTCAATGTGTCTTATAAATTTATTCCAGACATATGTTTTACGTGTTTTCAAAATGTTCATTTTCTGGTTCATTTCATCAAACACAGTGTAATGTAATACTGGATATCTGCATTGTTTGCATTATCTAGCGACTTGGTTCAAGACCGTATCTTTTTAACAAATCTTTAGTCCATAAGAGGTGCGTTCTTCTAATGTGCAGGAGGGACAACTTGCATGTTAAGAAATCCCAGATTTTCTTTCTTTTCCACAACAATTTTTCATTCTGTCTCTCTCGATCAGACTGAGCCGTGACTTGAGCCCTTCAAAGCAGGGATTTCAGGTCGAGGGCAGAGGGGGGGGAGGAAGGTATACAGGGTCAGTGGAGGTCAACGCCGGAAGCTTTTCTGTTATTACTAAAAACTGAGCAGCCCTCTAGACCTTTTTGAAAGACATGAATGTCTTTGATCCAAATTCAATTACCCTGCATCTCCGCACTGAAGGCATATGAGTTGACAGTTTCTGAACCAGGTTTTTGACTCCTCTAACAGAATTCTAATGAGAATCAAAAACACTCACAGCCATGGTTCTAAGTGCCGGTTGTTGGGAGACTGTACAGTATGCAATGGTGTGGATGTCATTTGACCGTGGATTTGCTGACCATCTGCCAGATCCTGCATCTGTCTGATTCCCTCACACTGGGGCAGTGATTGGGAGAGGTGGGGCCCGACCCCTGGGGGGGGGGGTTTCTGGGATGAAAGGAATGCGAGCTGAATGCTGCAGGATCCGAGCTGTCACAACACCAAAGACACAAACACACCATGTCTGGGTGGAGAGGGGGATGTAAAAAGTGTGGGAGGAGAGAGATGTGTGTTTGGTTATTTAAAGTTAGTGACAAGAGGCATGAATACAAAAAAAGATATGTTATGACGTGCAGCATGAATATGAAACATTTTCCTAGAATCAGAATCCGCAGAACACAAAGGCCTCGGATCCTTTGCTCTCAGGTTCATTTAAGAAGTGCTTTAATATAAGCGTACAGCTGATTTTATTAGATGTGAATGACAAACCGTGGTTAAAACCAAACAACCTCTGCTTCATGTTCTCATGAGGCCTGTCTGGATGAATTCATGCCTCACATAGTTGGCATGTGATGTCATGGCCAGCAGAGGGAGGAGCAGAGGGCACCGGCTATCTGCTCTGCTCAGAATGTAAGAGTGAGTGAATTAAATTACCACTGGCTTTGTTTGGTTACACTAAAAAGTTGATGACCAGCTTCCTCACAGAGCAGAGGCTATTTCAAAGCCAGCTCAAGTGTGTGTTGTTTCAGAAAATATGGTTCATGGCAGAGGTCAATCCTTCGCCTTATCCTGACAATTACTCAAGATCGGGTGTCACTTGTGTGCACATAGCACACATTTGTGCTGATCCCCCCTGTGATGGCACTGCAAGACAGGACAGATATTCGGATATTGACAAACCTAAGACCTCCTCGCAAAACTTTCACAAGTGTGAAGTAAAATGAACTGTTTAAATTCCACTGCACTGTGGGAGTGTGTGGGTTGTCCTCACGGTTTCAGTGTGCAAAGAATATTATCAACAAAATGCTGCATAGGAAGTTAGGAGGCCTGTATGTGGACAAATGAACACCAAAGAGAAGAAGCAATATGTTTATATGAGGTGTGTATGAGTATTTGTGCAGAAGCCTCCTCATTTAAGCGGTGTGTCCTCACCCAATGATCTGAAGCTTGTGAGAAGTCATGCCGTACAGCATCTGTAGCAAAGCAGCTTTCCCGAAGTCCTGAAATCATATTTTTCTCAAACTATTTGAAAAACAAAAACCTGGTTGAAATTGTTTTCAGGTTCTAAGTTATTCTCACTTTAGTTGGTTTGTATTAGAAACTGCTTTAATCCACGTCTTTAGAAGACACCAGTCTGACATGATCACAAGAGATAACAGAAGAAAATGTGTCTATTAGTCAATGTCTCATTTTAACGAAATGTCCTCTATTGTTACTGTTATTGTCCAATAATGTGAACTGTTTACTAGATGTTTTATGGGACGTGGTCTGTAGGATCTGTACATTTTTGATATAACTTTTCATAAGAAAAGAACGGTTTCATTAGACTAATTAACCATTACTGACTGACTGAATGACTGACGTACCGACTGACCATGGACGATCAATCGAACTGAGTAAAGTAATAAAGTAACTGACACATTTTTATGTGTGCAAAAAATAATAATTATAGGCGAATGTATCTCAGAAAGAAAGGGGCCTATGTATTTTCCAATTTGTTTTCTAAAGTATAATACACGCACATCCGTTAGATACTTTGCTATCATATAAAATGTTTGTTTTAATGTTGGTCGTTTGGGTTTAATCATTTCTTTGACTTTTTCCACAAACATTTCTGCAGGTGTCTGCTGGATGTTATAGTCTGAACGAAAGCAGTCATCGGCTGGACGCTTTAATGGGAACTTAGATTATAGCCCAGAACTCAGCTGTGCATGTATGTAAGAAAAAAAGAGCAAAGGCGTCCTGGTGAATCACAAAGCATCTCTGCATGGCTGCAATTAAAGGGCTGGACACAGATAACGCTGAGGCCACGGCACTTTTCACCAGAGGCTGTTGGAAACACAACGTACAGCTGCATGTTGAGACAAAACATCAAAACACCAGCCACAGATGGACGCAATTAGCAACATGGTAGACATTTGGGGAGCAAAGGTCTATAAACGTGCAAAGTTATTATGGTTGATCTAACGTGTCTGGAGGGAAGCCGAAACTCAACAATGTTAATGGGGTTTCAGTTCAGGTTGGAAGTTTCCACCATCCAGGATTTAATGTCGGTGAAGGCCTCGCTACTCCAACACAACATTTTAAATCAGTTTCTATTCAGACACCAAGTTTTTTCCCATTCAGTGTGTTATGTGTGCGATCGATTGATTTGACTGAGAATCTTTAAAACTGTTATTTAGACAAAAATGTATATATTATAAACAAGTGATGAATTCATAACTGTGAATGCAAAATATCATAACAACAAAGTTTCAGTAAAAGGGTTTGAAAGCCTAATTTCTGTAAAATGTTCGAAAGTAAAGAAACTGTGATCTACCTGTTCAGCCTCTGCTCGTGATGATTATTGATGCCTGCAGAGTCCTGAAGGGGGAGTGCTCGGCCACGATGCCTCATTCTCGGTGAAGACTGAGATCGCAGAGGAAGAATTGCGTCTTTATTTACACCTGTGTCAGGTAAGTTAGCAACATGTTAGCCCTCAAACTTTTTCACATGCTCGCTATGTGACTGTATTTGTGTTTTGTTATTATACTGAGTCAATATGAATTGTTTTGAAGCAGTATTTTGGTTTGTTATTTGTTAAATGGTATGTTGTGACTAAGCTAGTTAAAACTCTCCTCACAGTAACAATGTTGTTTGTGAAACACCAACTGTCTATTCGTGGTCTAATGGCAAAGGTGCTTTGAGCAGAAAAAAAACAATATAATAATACTTATTATGGTCATTTGATTTCCATATTAACAAGTCCATGAAAAGGAATATTTTATATATATATATATTTTAAAGAAAATTAACAGCAAAGTTGGCTACTTTTTCATTATGTCACTCATAACTTGCTCATATTAAATATTATATTTTTAAATCCTTCAGAGGTGACACAGATATTTCACCTCACTCTTGTTCATGGTGACCCCTACTCCTTGTACTGGAGGGACTTTGTAACTATGTAAAAACTGTAAAGAACTGTAGAGAATACATTCCCGGTGAAGCGACCACAGAGGAAGCATTGTGTCTGAGAGTCCTTATTCCCATTTCCCCTTCTTCAGGGTGTAACATACACTCTTATATCGTGTGTATGTGTGCGTTGAGTGGGGGCAGGGAGTGAATGCTCAACCTGTTTCCACTCATTAGCAAATGCTAAGCTTCCTGTTTGTGTAAATATTTTCTTATTGTGTTTTTTCAAGAGAGAGGGGTAGAATAATCGAGCCTGACCTCTCTGCCCTCCTGTTTCCTACCCATCACATGGTCGCTCACCTTCTGTGTCCACACCACTGACCGGAGGTTGGGGCCTGTCCAGACCCGTCACTGGCTGGGGAGAGAGGTGAGTCAAGTATAGATGGGTTCGCCAGAGGTCATGAGCAGCAGCCATTGATACCATGGGTAACAGCTGTGGGACCGTTTTTGAACATTCTTAAGACCCAAGTGCATTTTTATATTCTTTCAGACCAAAAATTCATTCCATGAATTGCAAAATAAAATGTGCTTGAGAAATAACACCACATTTGAAGGAATAGAACAAACTGAGAGTTATTTCTGATAAAACTTACAATTCCAGATGTAGCTGTCTGCAACATAAAAATATCACATCTTCAATCAAATCTTTCATGCTGGTATTTTTTCCTATCTCTTTGGACTGATACCCATAAAATCTTTTATCTTTTGTTAATGTTCTATCTGTGTTGCCAACAGGACTGACAGTTTGATTTCATATTCCTCCCTAATAAATAACTTTTGGAAATGTTCTGAGGAATGAGACCAGATGCTGTTGCTCTCGCCTCTCTGGATTCCTAAATTGCATAACATTTTATTCAGGTAAACACTTTGCTCTGGAAACGTGGCAACTTTGCACCAACAAAGTGTCCTTCAAAAAAGAAGTGGTCAGCTGACAAGAAAAGATGTAAACAAGACAACGTTTTAGCCACAATATCTCAACCACTTTAAATCAGCACAATAAAAGATTAACTCCTGGTTATTTTAAAGTATAAAACGGCTAGTGTTGCTAATAATCACTCTTTACACAGAAAAAGTTTGCATGCACAAACTATCGACACAAACAAAAGTTACATATACTTTAAGTTACTATCTAAAGCATTGTTTTTGGGCGTCTTATTATTTGAGCTCATCTTTCTGTCTTCTGTACAAGGCATCAATGTGTGAGACAGCTCTCTAAGGAAAGGCTAAACAAACAGGCCAGCCCAGGCACAAAGAGTCCGCCACTCAGAAGACATGTGGCAGCAAAACCCTCTCAATCCATGCCCTCCCACCCCCCCAACAACTCTGGACCCGTCACACTCCCACTGGAGTCACACAGACCCCTTCCACATCCCCTGAACATGGAGCCAAGAGGAGGAAAGATGGAGGAGGGGGAGCAAATTCTGATTCCTATTCACTGGATGTCACCACCTCACAAAGGGGACTGCATCACACTGCCACTAAATCAGAGTTAATGGACTCCTTTCTCAGTCCTGCGAACATGACAGGGGGCGTGTGTGTGAGAGTGAGGGGGTGTGGGAGAGGGACGGGGGCTGGTGAGGGTGCCTGTTTGCCCCATTGAAGGGGCACATGGGCCAATGAGCCTTGTGTGATATAGTGAGGGCAGATTGGCGAGAGAAGTGTGTTTTTCAGGGGCATTAACAGCTCACTCAATGGAAAGACCTGCAGCTCATTCAACACTTATTTGTTTTAAGCGGTCCATAACTCAGAGGATATACTGCACTGGTGCGTTTGCCAGATTGTTAGTGATTTTAAAAAGAGGAATGTTAATCATATGCTTTGTTTGACCATTCTGTCCCGACTCTTTCAGCACAAATGATTAGTGCGTAAGAAGCGAAATAACATAACGTCAATCAGCGACGTGTTTAACACTAAGTACAACGCAACACAAACCATGTTGATGTGTAGGCAATCAATCAAACTCCCGAGCTGAAGGTGCGGGAACACCATCCATGGAGCTCAGGGGGCGATTTTTGATTTGCATGTGAACACTTATTACACAATGAGGAGCCAGACTGGGAGACAGCAATTTCTGAGCCGTTTGTTATCTTCCCTACAGGGCAGGACCTAATACAAGTCACCCCTCCCGCCCGGCAACAACGCACCCCATCCCGTACTCAAAGAGCACGGCTCCGAGGCGGCAGCGGAGATGAGTGAAGATGGCATTGGTGTCACTTGGCAGCCATTCATGGGCACCGCTCCCCCCCCCGCCTTCGACCACATGGGGGATATGCAGAGAGACAGAGGCGGAGAGACAAGGAGCCCCAGGTACCGACCTCATTAGCAGATAAAAGCAACCTTTCCCCGTGACCCCTGACCCTGGAGGTTGCCATGGAGCCTTCCAGTCGAGTCATAGATGGAGCATGCTGGGATTGCACCCAGCAGGGTAGAGTGAATATGGGCTGCTGTGAGAGTTATTAAGACCCCCCTCCCCATCCCACTCTACACATACACACACACACCCTCCCCTCTCATACACAAATTCATATTCGTCCACTCTGTGCGCTTGTGAACTCAGTTGTGCTGCAGCTCATGTGCTGCTCGCCTCCTGCTTTGTTTCTGTGCAGTCAAACAGTTAAGCTCATTACGTCTCAGGGTTCAACTTTGATGTGCACGGAGGAGAAAGTGTGATCGTTTACATAAGATGGAGATGAAAAGACGAACCGCAACTCTTTTTTTCTCTCGGCTTGTTTCTAATCTCCGAACTGGCCAAGTATGGTTTTAATGTGTGCATTAGCTGTGCTGCATTAGTGATGATGTTGGTTGCAACTAGTTTACATTTACCTTTGTTGGTCGGTTGGTCGGTTTGCTAGTGAGATTACACACAAAAAGCTTGGTGGAAGAATGTGTATGAGTCAGGAAATAACCCGTTGAATTTTTGGTTGAATTTTTAACACTTGAACACTGCTGTACTCATAAGTGCCATTGAAAACAAAGGTTGTTGTTATTTCCTCCGCCAAGATGATTGATTTCATCTGCGTTTGTTTGTTAATCAGCAGGATTTCTCAGAAACTATACTGGACAGATTATCAAGAAAGTTGGTGGAATAATGATGTGGTAAGTTTCAGGGAAGAACTCACTAGAGTTTGGTGAAGATCCAAGAATTTGTTATCCCTGTCTTTGACATTGGTGTTTTAAAAAAAAAATGTATTTACTCATTTCCAAGGAAATAGTTCCTCTATATAGATAGTTACACATTTATTCCTGAAATTGAAGTAGATTTTCTGCCAGAGACTTAAAATCTTCAGTTCCTTAATGATTTATCTCTGTGCACATCACTTAAAAATGTAAAAACGTGCCATAAAACCATAAGTGGTTATTATTATAATTGTTGTTGTTGAAAGAAAATTAGAACATGCATAAAAACAGAAAGTCTTGGGTTTGGATACTCTGAATCCTTGGAGTTAATACCAAGGGGGAAAAGGTGTATCAGTGTAGATAAGTAGATATATAAATGTATGCATTTGTTAGTGTCCATATCTGTGTGTGCATGTGTGGTTGTTGGAGAATGGGGGGTGTGGGGGGTTATATCTTGGTCATGCTGACTGAGTTTTATAAGCTGTGGCTTACCCTACTCCCCACAGCTGACTGAATATTAAATAAACAGAGCCAAGTGGCTGAATTCAGTGGAGTGAGCGCTCAGGCTGGAGAACCACTACTGCACCAGCGCGGGGCCTCCCCCATGGGGTCCCCACATCAGCCTGTCTTATTCTTGGCAGCTGCAGAGCAGAGGGGCAGACTATGGGGTGGGTGGGCTGGTTTATGGGGTGTGTTTTTTGGGGTAGTGCACAAGGGGGAGGAAGGAGGAGTCGCTTACAGAGAAGGAGGGAAGGCAGATGGAAGGGAAAGTTGGAAGGAGAAAGATGGATGTGGGCTAAAGAAAATGGGGGCTGGTGTTTGCTGTGGGATGGAAATCCCGAACCAGCAGCAGAAGGAAACTGAGCACTGCGCCGTCACTCGCTGAGTTTTCTTGTGGTTTTGAGGAGTGTTGGTGGAATCTCTCCTCCCCGAGCTCGTCTGTCTGCATCACAGTGAAAGCAAGGCAGCGAGTCAGTGTCAGTCTGTCAGCCACGGACAAACCTGCTGCCAGGAACACCACAGGCCTCCATGCTTCATTTCACATCGCTCTCATGTAGATGTTTTTCACAGTGATGTTTTATATTTGGAGATTCACACGATAGCACCATGAATAGACGGTGATGTTTAAGAAATGCAAACAGAGCAACAACAAAACGCATCACATTTCTATTTATTTTCATTCTGATGATTGTTCCAAATACATTTTGTGTTAAAGAATGAGTTTATATTTGTAGGAGCAGACAAAGCAATAAAAACAAATAAAGTATATTTAATAACTGTAATAATCGCCCTGTTAACATCACATCACATGTTTATGTTACACATAAATGGAACCCATGTGTAACTCATATTATTAATTACAAATTATTATTAAAAATAATCTTTGCATGACAACAGTTTACAGAAGAAGATAGATGAAAGTTGTTCGATTAGGATTATGTGAGAATTTCTGAACAAATTTCTATGAAACTTATAGGGATAGAACACAGATCAAGATAGAACAAATTGAAGTTCAGGGTGGATCCAGATCAGGGAAAACAGGTTTTCTCTTTAACATTGTGAGACTTTTTGACATCGTCACCATTTTCATGGATCTTGATGAAAAAATCAGGCATATTTGTGGCACTGATATCTATGAGTGAGTGAATTTAAGGGGACTGTGCTCTCTACTGACAGCAGTTTTAATATTAGTTACAGGTGAGCTTAATGCACTATGACAAATTAAAAGTTTTCTTGTGAACGAGACCTTTTGTTGTTTTGTTGTGGGGCGTGTTTGGCTCCTGTGCTTCTCCACCAAAGTCAGCGGTTTGATCACCAGCTCCTCCGGTCTGAATTCTTAGCAAAAACACTATATTTCAAAAGTGCTGTATGAATCTGTCTCCGTGAATGGGTGAATGTGACTTATACTGTAAAAACTGGAAAGAGTTAATTTACCATTGTGATGCTCAGGTGTTAAAGTTATGACAAATCTCAGGCATTGATTTAGTTTTACACATTTTCACGAGAATCTCAAGGTTTTAAAAGTAATGCAAAACAGCTTTTTGCAGTTTGAAAACACCAGAACTCTTTCACATGCAATGCATTCTGTATTATGGAAAAAACTGTACTCGCTTAGCAACAATGACATGACACACAGCCACACTCACACACACAGAGAGAGAGAGAGAACCACAAACAAACACACACACCCTACATACTGCCCCGTCTGGAACCCCCCCATCCCACTTCACAAGCATCACATTCTCACACGTCTCAAGGGTTTCCTATCTTTTATTTTTTGCCTTCTCACAGTTTAAAGAAGATCTGCGGCTCAACCCCACATCACCCCTCCACCACCATCATTACACACACACACACTCTGTAATTGTCTTTTGAGAACCCAAAACCGAGCGTCCCAGACCATGAGTTCACCCATCGCAGACAGGGAATAAAAACCATTTGATATCAAGCTCCTGTTTGATTTACACGGCGCTCCCACATAAACGCTATCGAGTCACTGGGAGCATCTGGGGCAGGTCATGGGAGCCATTTTCTGGATGGAGTGAATCCGCAGGGCTCCAACCTCCCACACCCTGCTCTGTAAACACAGCTGTCAGTCTTGTGTCTCCTGTCATTGCCAGCTCCTGTGTTTCACTCTCTCCTCCTTCACATGATTTGAAGCTGCATAGGGCCGAGCAGCCGTGAGAGCGTCCCGTCAGCATCCTCCTCTGTTGTTGGTGGATGTGGGAGAGTTTTGCTTACTCGCTGACTGAAGCGATGACGCAGCAAGATATGTGTTTGGGATGCGTCCCTGTGTTTATCTTTGCCAGGAACGTGCAGTGCTGCAAACCGCTGGCCGTCACTTATGACTCATACCAAAAACCAGTGAAGTACACAGCGAGAGTTCAGCTAATTGAAGCCAGTGTCTGTGCTTTTTGATGAATTGTTGTCCTCTTCGTATCCCTCCCCAAGCGTCCTCCCACATTGTGCTTTAGACCTCCCGCAGAAGACTCTTAACATACATTCATATACTTACAGACTCACACATTCATACATGCACACACACACACTCACACTGCACTCAGGGTAAGGACGTTTCATCTTGACCCCAGGAAAGCAGAGGCACGAATGCAGCTCATTGGTTTTCAAAGGGTGTACGAAAAAGGAAACCGAATGATGGAGAGTGATAGAAAGAAGGAGCATTTGTGTGTGCGATGGAGGAAGAAGGAAAATGGAGGAAATGGCGAGACGTAGAAGGGAGGTTGCTAAAAAACTCTCTCTGGACTCCCCTCTGCTTCCCTCTCCTGCTGCCCCATGTAGGTCGGCGTTCCTCCTCGCTCTCCTTGTGTGGTCCGGAGCTCCAAGTCATTCCCAAACAATCGGCATTAATCCAGGGAGCGAGGGGCCTGGAGCACAGCGCTGCCAGACTACCAAAGCACCCTCACCCTGGCCTGTACTGCATGCTACTCTACACCTCCTGCACACACACACACACACACACACACACACACACACACACACACACACACACACACACACTAAATAGACTCATGCAGCCTTTAATGTGTTTTGTAATGTACAGTGTGGTAGAGCAGCCTCTCACGCCACATCACGTAAATGAGTCAGCAGCTATCAGACTCAGGTTTTCCTGACCAAGTGCTAAATTTGTACCTCAGTAGAGTTTTCTGTTTCTGTTAATTCTTTTTAAGTCCCTGAATCGTGACCACCTAAATGACACAACTTTTCTGTGGTCTAAAATCTGGAGCATGGTCAATATCATAGGAAGTCTTATCAGGGTTTTCCTACATTGTCTGGTCTCGACCTTTGGCCTTTTCAGTTTAGTCCTGTGTGAAAAGTTGCTTGGATCATGCTCCAGATCATCAGACCAAAATTTAGTCCGACCAAAAGTGGTGTTCTCAGTCTGGATCAAACAGAATCAGGGTTCGGTTCATTTGCAGTGTGAATTGTTTTCAAACCATTTTATTCTGCACACTTTATTTAGACAAAGATTGCTAATACAATCACAGAAATGACAAGACTCTAATATCAGAGGAGTTGGGGAGATGTGGAGAGATTTGGCCCACGTGGGTGATGCTGATCAGAGTCTTTAATCTTCCTATAGTTGAGTGTACCCGGTGCAATGAGGGACTTTTTCTGACATTTTGGGCTTAATTTCTATATATTTTATATATTTATCTCAAACTAAAGTG